GTGACATCTCCCTTATCACTAATTGTCTCACTTGGTTGAATAGCGCTGGGGGGAAAGAGAGAAGGCTAAAGAAGGAATTGAACGAGGAAAATGAGGAATGAAGCTCAGCAGAACTAGATTTAACATTCATCCAGCCAATGCCGTATCTGTGTTGTAACAGACCACCCAGCTGTGCCAACTGCAATGACAAACATACACATGCGAGTGCTGGTTTGCACTGGCAATTGTAGCGAGATGAGAAAGGAGTAGAGAGGCTAATAAGATGCAGCTCAGAATATGTTGAACCAACACAGAAACGAAATGAAATTGTGCATCAGATAGAGACTGCTGCAGGGCATGGCTCCTGTACATTTAACAGTTGTGCTCATGAGGAAATTAGCAGCAGGCAGATACACTTCCAGTTTCCCTTACAGACTCTCTTCGAAAGAATACAGAGAAACCACCACTGACCCAGTGTGAGGGCTCATGCCTCAAGTGGCGTTGACCCAGCCTGACTTCCATGGCGGGACATCACAGTCCCTTCTCCTCAAAGCCCAGGTGAAGATGGGCTCACGCCACTGCTAACACTGTGCCCAGAGCCTCTTTGCTTTGTCTACCTCCTCAGTCAGCCCTATGGCCAATACAGCAAGCTCCTTCCAGGAACAGAGTCATCGGAGGACATCCATGGGAATCAGCAATTCTCAGCAAAAGAAGAAGAGGGGAGGAAATGCCAACTGAATAACCCTGGCACCATGTTGTCTCTGATCCTGATAGCAGACTTGAATGGGGCTATTATTATGATAATATTTTATACGCTGCTTTGAGTTCGTCTTGGGGCTTTAAAGCGGGATATACCATAAATTAAATTAAGAAGTAAGCAAACACTGGTGTGCAAGGCTCTAGCTGTCTGCTCAGGTTCCAGCCATGTTTTGCCGTCTGTCCTCCTGATTTCCAGCTCTTTAACTTTCTATAGACTGACCCCTTCCCTCAGGAGATGTTGGGCTGGCATGAGTCAGGATGCCTGAATATTGACATCCCTTCAGATAGATAGATAGATAGATGATATATAGATATAGATAGATGATGATAGATAGATAGATAGATGATAGATAGATAATCAATGGAGACTTTGGGGAGGGGAAAAGGATGCTAGGAATAAAACAAAAATACTTAGGGAACCCCCTGCTCCACCCAGAATCTTGTGGTTTTTTTCCCCATGGAGAAGGAGAACAAAGAAAAACAAGCTCCACTTATTCCAGGGACTGAAAACTAGATTCATATTCATTACAATCATGGATCTGAGGTTTGCTTTCCTTCCAACTTTTTTTTTTTTTTACTACTTCCCTTTTCCTTTTCTTCAACCCTGCCTATGCAGAGACACGTAGCAGACTTCGTTTTATTTCCACACACTGTAGAAAGAGATTTCAGGGGAGTGCCAGGACACATTTAGCCCAATTAAATGTTGGCACTGTGGTTCCATTCCCCCCCCCATCACCCGGGTGGAAATTTTAAAGGTCAAACTGGCCACTGTGAATTGATGCCTCCCATCTACATTTCCTTGCACTGGGCTGCTAGCAGGGTACATACAAACAAATGTATCACTACAAATTTTAATCTTAAACATCACTTGTTGTTTTTTGCTTTAAATACACAAATAATGAGATAGGCGTGATGAAATTTCCACAGTGAAATGTGCTAAAGAAGCTAAACGGTGGTAGTAAAATCTTTAGCTATCTCTCTGGAATTCAAGATTTAAAATTATTCCCAGCTGAAAACCACCCTAAACTTGCATTATTGTTTTATTTTTTCAAAGAATGAGCAGACAGCAAATTTCAAGAAAGATTCTTCCACCCCCTAAAAGCTTTTAAATAAATGCAGGCCACGTGAGAGGAATTTTAGGCCCATCAAAGCAAGTATTTCATGAGCTTCCATAAACACCCAAGCATTAGCCAACCCTATTTTTTACACAGGTATACACTGACTGTCTTGTCTGTTCTGCTTTCCATGCAGAAGGTCTCAGGTTCCATCCTAGAATATCCAGGTAGGTTTCAGAAAAGACTCCTGTCTGAAACGCTGCAGACCCTCTCCTAGTAAGCATCAACAATACTAAGGCATCCCAAATGGGAGGCTCTCATGGTATACAAACGGTATCTTGCCATAGACTTCAGTAAGATTTCTTATGTAAGCAAGGAAATCATGATGTTGCCCCTTTATTACCGATAGAACCATAATTCAGCTACAGAAGATTTGACGGTACACTGTTCAACCTGTAGTTTTCAGGGGACGAATGGGTGTGGGAGAAGGAAAAAAGTAGACAAAGAGCCTTGCTTTCCAATTTTGAATTATTCAGACTGGAGAAAAGCTTATTCCCATCTGAAACAAAATGTAGCACACTCGGAAAACATTTATGAAAGAAAAGGCAACAGACTTCGTAAATACAGCAAAAGAAAACTCCTTCCCGCTTTTCTCTCAAGAAGTCTTGTTACAATCTTGTGTGAGCATCAATTTCAATATGGGAGATGTAACAACATCAACAAGCCAGAAACATCCTGCATTACACAAAGACTTTGAGCAATTATCTTTGGACATAGGAGTGTGGAGCCAATACTGTGGAATATATTGTTGCATATTCTGAAAATGTGCAGTATTAAGGAGACTGGGAAGTAAACTTGTTCTGGGTATTCGTAGGCAGTTGTTATCACTCACCTATCACTGTATCTTCTTATGCACATCTCCTGAGTACATATTCAACAGTGATACATGGCTGTTGCTGAAAATGCTTATTCATGCTGCTGTAATGCACAAGGATGTCCATGCCAACCAGCTTGTCCCTGCACCAGTTGGGCACCTTATTTCAGGCTACCAGAGCTCATGCACAAACATAGTCTGATCATAGGAGTTAGGCTCATCTAAGGCCCCTGAAAGCAATGGTTTTAAACACACCTAACACTGCATAGAATTGCAGCCTGAGTGGTATGTCAAGTGCTACATAACTGTCAGCAAACAGAAGCATTTTGATAGTAACCACATTATTGTGGTTCTGTATGAAGCACACTGTAGGGCACACATTCAGTCTTTGGAGGCCTGTTGTTGTTGAACCAATGAAGGCTCATGCCCAGTGCAAAAGAGTATATAACACGTAATGTTTGTTTGATATACCGCCCTTCATCATAAGATCTCAGGGTGGTACACAGGATAAAACACAGGATAAAAACAAGTAAATAATTGGAACAAAACAGCAAAACAATAACCTCCCCTCTTCCTACAGACACATTTAAAAGGCTTTAGAATATTAATCAGCCCAAGGCCTGGTTGAAGAAGAACATTCTCACCTAGTGCCTAAAAATATATAATGAAGGCACCAAGTGAATCTCCCTGGGGAGAGCATTCCGCAAGCGGGGAGCCACTACAGAGAAGGCCCATTCTTGTGTTGTCACCCTCCGAACCTCATGTGGAGGGGGCCCACAAAGAAAGGCCTCAGAGGATGAACACAGAATCCAGGACAGTTTATATGGGGACAGTTTATATGGTTCAACGGAGGCCAAGACTTAACTTATGGAAGTAGCATACCAACCAAGATGATCAAAGCTTGTTTGAATTCGCAAGAGATACGCACAGGGGTCCTTGCCCAAACAAACAAGCCATCTTAGCGAGCATGAGAAAGGCTATTACCTGCACCACTGGGTGTCCCCCCGCAGACGCCTTGACAGCCCCTCGACTCCCTTCGGTCTCGTAATGGGCTCGGTGGTGGGACTTCGGCTGCACTTCAATCCGAAGTTCATAAGGTCCTGAGTGAGACGGCAGCTGCCAATCCAGAGCAGGCAAGGATGGGCTGTAATGGAAAGCAACCGCAATTAAATATTAACATCCAGTCCACTATCATAAACCGCAAGAATCTGGCACTATTACTTTAGAGGCCACGTTTAGCAGTTCATCCTTCACCATCTTACACTTAAAATTTCATCAATGGAGATAATGGTATGACATAAGTAATTTAATAGGTAATGGTTATTTTATGAAGATTTATGTATGGCACAGATTTGATAGGCCAGATGCAATCAGATGCTTAAACAAAAACGGAAAACATTTTAAGCTTGGTTAAAAAAAACCAACATCACTTAATGCATGAGCCCATTAATCAAAATGGACAAATGCAGATAAGTCAGATGTGTGCATGGAGGGTGGGGGGTGGAATCTATTCTGAGTTAGAGTGAGGTCGAGTATCAGAACCTCAGTTTCTCCAATTTACATTCAACCTACTTTGTTTTTGATCCTGTTTCAACAGAAACCAAAATGATTTCGTTGGCTTCAGCCACAGATTGGCTCAGCAATGTCCCCTCTGCACTAAGGGTGTATTTTTGCTTTCTTCAGCACAGGCAAACCATATGGCGACTGACTTCAGCAAGCAATGAGTTCGTGCCTTCCTGTACTGCCATTGTGGAGAGTTCACCTCTAGGACAGGCAGGGCAGATGCCAGAACAGGATCTCTCAGGTGATGTTGCACCTGTCTGTCAGAGATTCCCCCTCCCCTCTCTCAACAACATCGAGAGGGCAACACGTCTCCGCATCTACCCAAGGTGAAAAATGAGCCCTGAGTTGTTGCATAAGCGCAACCATTTACAGTTTATGCAGGTAATATAGGCCAGTGGTAGCCAATCTTTTTGACAAGGATGCTACAAGTCAAGTCCAAAATATCAGAGTGGCCCTCTCTTCTATATGTATGTTGCGTCACATGGCTGTTGAGTTGGAGACTAAGCAACGTCACCTTGCAGGAGGGGCAGGTACAAATACATACCTGACAGTTTATCGGTTGGAATTCTTTCTATCCTGCCTTGCAGCTTGAGTTTCCAAAACAGAAACAGAAAAGATCCCGCAATAGCCTAAATGTGCATTCAAAAGTAACAATGAAAGATAAAAGGTCCTAATTGCCATTAAAAGCATGCATGAGTCTAAAAGCCACCAGGTAGGACACTGAGAAAATGAACTGGGGAAGAAGCAGTCCACAATCAAGGTGACACAACTGATAGCTCAGCCAGTAGAGAAGGAGACTCTTGATCTCAAGGTTGTGGGTTGGAGCCCCACGCTGGGCAAAAAAAGATTCCCGCATTGGACTAGATGACCCTCGTGGTCTCTTCCAACTCTGTGATTTTATGAAAAGGCCCTCTGTCTCATGCCTACCCCCTCCTCTCAGAAGGTGAGGATACTTTGAGCAGGGCCTCTGAGGAAGATCTGCACAAGGCAGTTTCATGTGAGAGTCAACAGTCCTTCCAGTCCTTCCAGTCCCAAGCCACTTACGAAGTCTTAAGATCAAAGCCAACTTAACTAGGTTATAGCCAGGCCCATGGCTCCTCCTGCTGCCATCCAGTTATGCCATAAAGTCCTGCTCTCTGTGCCACAGACCACTGAAACTCAAATCTGAGTGAATGACTTATCCCCCCTTATAGACTCAATGGTTGGTGTGAATAGGACCCAGGGTAAAATCTACTACCAAAATATTATCTACAGCTATAAGAGGCAGACACCTCTCCATCATTTTAAGTCAAAGCTGCTATGATTACAGTGTTGCCATGCCACACTGTCTTGAGAAGCCTGAGGTGACTGGCGTAAAGTTTTCACTCAAGCACAATTGGCAAGTTCATAAGGCTCATCCTGTTCTGTGTACATCTATGTATGCTAGCATTTAAATGTTCCTGGATAATTATCTGGAGCTCCCGCTTGACTGCAAGAATAATTTATATAATATAGAGCAGCTGCATAACTCATGTTGCAGATCACTTCATGTTATGAAACAGATGCTTCCATCTTTAAGCCAGTTCATATATGATGGATTTCGCTCTCTCTTTCCCCCGAATATCTATCCGATTGTCACATTTTCAGGGTGTTTCATTCTTAAAAGCTCTAATCCATCAATCATCACAAAGTTTGGATCCTCTAAACTTTTAAAGGGAGATGGAGAAAAAAGCAAGGTGAAGCTGGCTGAATTAAAAAACACACAAACAAAACTTTATTTTCTCTGCTTAAGATCTTAGAGGAGCACCTGAAACACTGACTGAACGCAGTTGCTGTTTCTGTTTCTGTTATAAGGCAGCCATGTAGTTAGGCACACCATAATTAAAATCCCACTGCAAGGGCCGACCAACAAAAGTAATAATAATAAATTGAGAATTAAATGCAGTTTTCCTGACAGAGGAAGTGGCATGATGCTTTAAACAGTTTCATGGGTTGTGGCTTGGCAATGCAATTTCCTATTCTAGGTTATCTGTATTGTGCACTTAATTTCCTGCAGCACAACTTACTTAAAAGGAAGAGATATCAAACATATATTTAGATTGTAGAAGTTCTTTCATGGGGGAGGGGACCAGGAGAGCCCAACTTCATCACACACAGGAAAATATCCTGAAGAATATATGGGCAGATGCTCAGTGAAGACAAGAGCTGTAAACTGTACTATTCCATAAGCATCAGCTGTTCTGTGTAGATCTAAAATCTAAAATTAATGTAATATATGAATGAGACAAACGTGTTTCGAAACCCATGTGCCAGGATTGGCTGACTGTTGACTTATACCCTCAATGACAAATCTGGGTTTCCTGCCATGTTCATGTGTGGATTGGCCCCTAATCAGCAAAATCCCAAAGTCTTCTTTGGAGCTAGCCTGATCATCAACTGGCAAACTCACCTACTGTTATTCTAGTAAGAAAATTCAATACTCTTCCAGGACTAGCTAGGCTGTGAAAGTGACTGCAGCCACACAAATGCTTGGAGCAAGGCAGAGTGGGTGGACCCAGTGCAGCAAATAAAGTTGTCACAATTTTCCTGGTGTTTCTTCTTGCCTTTCACAGCCACCCACCACACCCAAATTGAGTGAGTGAAATTAATCCTATCGTGCTTTGAAAAGCCTTCACTGCTTAATTTGTATGCATCGAGGAGCAATCAAGGATAGAGGAGTCAGATCAGTTAACAGAACTGGCAACGATTCACAACAGCAGTTGATCGGTTTAACAAGAGTAACAAACAGAATGTCAAACTGCACAGGTGATGCCTAGTGACATCTTATATGTGGTGATCACATGAAATATCATTATCTAGCCAGATCTTTTTCTTTAAAACACCTTTGTCTCCTTTTGCAGAAAGGGACTGAAATAGTTCACAGTGGAAGGAAACTGGAAATTAAGTTTCCAACAAATCCCTGTTTTCAAACAAATTTTAAAAAGTTAGGATAAAGAGTGATCATACTTAGGGACCCTAATGCTGAATTTTACATATGGTGCTTTAATAATTCACAGTGGTGCTGAAGGAGGATTTTTAAAAACACCCTATTTCTAGGAGAATTCCAAAATCAAATTTATGAAATGTCTTATGATATAAACAATATAAGGAGCCATGATGGGGAGAGGGCTGAATATTTGGATTTTCATTTTGTCAACTGGCAAGGCAGTCCACAAGCTAACACTTATTGTGAAAAGATGCAGGTTACATTACAAACATGTTGTATACAGGCCACACTATCACATTACTTCACTGCAATCATTTTAAAGCAAACCTATTCCACTTTTTCTTATTATGTAAACTGTGGTGGGCACAAACAATATATTACCTTTCCCCCCAAAAAACAGCAAACAGACAAAATATGTGAGCCAAAAGGATCAATAACATAATAGCAGCAAAATAATAAACTTTAACTAGGTAGCCTACACATAACATGTGGAAATATGAAAGCTACTAATGATCCCACAGATGCTGTGTCAAGCAGTAAAATGCCCACAGCTGTGGTTATTTCAGGCGCATGGGTGTTGTTCACCCTGCCAAAGCCTTCTTGGCAGATGGCGCATATATTGTACCCTGTGGAATCAGACAGCTCTGTTGATCAGTGCTATTTAGATGCCACCTTTCAGGGCAAAGCCCTACTCAAGTGGCTATCACAAACAATTAAAGGAGAAAATGCAATACACTGCATTTTTAAATATTAAATATTTTAAGAAAGTTTAACATGATGCAAAAAAAATCAAACTCACAGCACATTTTTAGTTAAAAGCTAGCTGAAATAGGCATACCTTTAAGGTCCATTTACTAACTGCTACTGATGCGGTTGCATGTATCTCCCTTGGGAAGGGGTTCCATAAATACAGAGTCACCACCAAAAAGGCCCTGTCTCTAGTTCCTGTGGGGATTTCCTTGGGCTTAACCTAGTGCAGCAGCTAGATTGCTGGCTGTCAATGCCATATAATACCTCTGTTGAAAGAGCTGCAATATGCTACTAAGTGCACTTCAAGGTCCTGCTTTTAGCATTCAAAGCCCTACTACAAACTTGAGGCTAGGATACCTAAGAGGCCACCTTGTCCTCTATATCCCTGTCTGGCAACTGCACTCCTCAGATGGGGCAATGCTGAGAGTGCCATATGGCCCCAAAGTGAACTTAACCTGTGGGCTGGAAACCTGGATTTTAGTGTTGTAGCTCCAGCTCTCTGGGATCAATTACCGGCCGAAATCAGACAGGCTTCTAGTTAGGTACCCACTGAAGACATTTTTGTTTAGGGAGGCTTTCCCCAAGGTGCAACCTGCTCACTAATGGTTTCCAGCAACTGGTATGCTACCTCTGACAGTGGATGAAGGACATAGACATCACGGTGAGTAGCCTTTGATAACCTTAGCCACCATGAATTTGTGTAATCCTCTTTTAAAGCCAATGCTTTATGTAAACCACTTTGAGATACTTATTAACATCTTTTGTACTTACAAAAGCAAGAGCTGTAACGTATCAGAAGACTTTTGCAAAATTCACAGTGGGATGGTTCCTTTTGGCATGGTACATGCTGGTACATACTGATGCTAGATACCAATACATTTGATTATCTAATCTTGTGGTGCAATACCAAGAGGGAAGTATGTATTAATACCTGGCTTATGTTGCACACAACCTGGTTGAATGAAGGCAAACGTCTCCCAAATACGTACACCAGAATTCTCTGCACAACACTAAGCTTATTGTGAAGGGAGGCGTTGATCTTTAGGCTTCCATCTCCCTAGCCACGAACTCAGCTGAACCGTCAACCAGCTTCGAGTGCACTGGTAGCCTGATAAAAATTCTGCTGGTGCACCAAACATCTCCTTGTCTGAGCTAACTGAGGTGGTTTCAAGGGTTCTGTTGACGTCTGCAAAGACCATTAGCCTTGGGCATCTTCAACATTCAAGCCAAAGTGGTCTGCCTTATCAGGAATGACTAAGGATTTCATGGCCTTGGTGGTATTCAGAGACCTGTGCATATCTGGGCAAGGCAGCCTTCTGATTGAGTTTTCAGTAGGGGACTAAGTTAAAATAATCTGTGAGCAGGAAAGCCATATTTGATTCTATTGTCATGGACAGATCATTCATTACCTGGATTTACCCACAGCTGTCTGCAACCTCTACAAGAACAAAGGCTGAGTGTAATAGGACTGCCCCCCCATACGGATGAACCTGGGTGGTTTTCTTAGGTAAAAGGTAAAGGTAAAGGGACCCCTGACCATTAGGTCCAGTCGTGGCTGACTCTGGGGTTGCGGCGCTCATCTTGCTTTACTGGCCGAGGGAGCCGGCGTACAGCTTCTGGGTCATGTGGCCAGCATGACTAAGCCACTTTTGGCGAACCAGAGCAGCGCACGGAAACGCCATTTACCTTCCCGCTGGAGTGGTACCTATTGATCTACTTGCACTTTGACGTGCTTTCAAACTGCTAGGTTGTCAGGAGCAGGGATCGAGCAATGGGAGCTCACCCTGTCGTGGGGATTCAAACTGCCGACCTTCTGATCGGCAAGTCCTAGGCTCTGTGGCCACCCGCGTCCCTCTTTCTTTCTTTCTTTCTTAGGTAACCAGGAGTTTTTCCTGCAGGTTTAGCCAGCAGTCTTATTGAGGCTCTGGTCTCCACAGGGAATGAGGGACTGACCCAAGCTATCAATACGATCACTCCCAAGTGTTATCAGCACATAGAGCTCTATCAGCACCTTGGTAATTCATAGTGATCCTTTCTCAAAAGCAAGATTGTGTCAGGATTGTAGCTATAACTAGATGCTGTGTCTTTAACTAGAAACCATATGACGTTCAAAACCAGAGGATGTCA